CGGATTTTTACTTAGTTACGGTTTTTTTTTTTGTATTTCACCGACAATATGAGTTAGGGCCTTTCTATCTTTTAAGATAACGAAATGTTAATACAAATTTCCTTAATACTTTTTTGCAAGAATTTTTCGTAATTTTGGAAACTAGAAATATTATCTGAACTGCTGTGGACTACGAAATCATGGAGGGGAAGCAAATAACGTTCGCCCTTTAAAAAATCCTGACATTTATTATTGAATCCGTTATAGCCATCAAAAATTAAACTTTTGGCCGTAGAAAACCATTGAATTCTAGTTGTCCCTCTAGGCCTGCGAGTTGTAAAACCAGCCGTGATTCTTAACGTTGTGCTATAAAATTGATGCCTTTTTTTTTGATATTTTCTCGGCACAGGTGTTTAGAGTAATTCGTAGTCCACCATTTAGTGGCGTCAACACCATCGTTTTTTTTTTTTTTAAATTCTGATCCACTATGTCGACAATGGACTTTTGGTTATTTACGTCTAGCTTTTCTGTTCTGGCTCCATTTTATGCTTTTTCCATGCAACGTCCCGAGCCGGCTTCAGCTGTCAAAAACATTTGCATATCCTTGGGTTTTATTTCCACCTGCAAAGTCCTGGATCCGTTAATACTTATGTACTAGAAAGCAGTAGGCTTTTTATTAATCGACTTCAAATTAGGAGGAGGTTATCAATTCATCGGAAAATTTTTTTTTTTTTATGTATGTTACCGCATAACTTTGGACCACGTACACGGATTTTAATAATTCTATTGGAAAGGTGATGCTTCAGGGGTGTTTCCATATTAATTTGGTATAGATCCGATTATTTGGTTGTGAAGAAATAACGGTACTCCTAAATTTTTATATGACAATCGAAGTCGAGTTATGTTTTTTGCTTAAAAATTACTTGTCTTTATTAATTTTTTACAGTAATAATTTACACTTACTATTAATTAGGACACATATGTATGTATGTATGTAGGATTTTGCCTTTTCTAAGACATTTTAGTCACATAAAAATGTATGTATGAATGTACATCAATCCACTCGGTGGGAGAATATGATAAACGCTGCTAAGGAGCAACAGGATTGGAATTTTCATGCGGTTCTTCTGTAGTAGTACACTTTTGAGCTTTCTGAAGCTCAGTTGAGCTTAGTTGAAGCGAAGTTATTTAAAAAAAATTACATACATACATACATATGTATATTTATGTATATAAATTTATTTAAACAAAATATTCAAGCTATAGTAAAAAGTATAGTCAATGAGTCATGTCATACTATGTGTGCATGTATGTACTACACTTTACTTTCAACTTTGAATATTATTTCTAGCTATCATTCTTTAATTTATTCTTAAAATTAGTTTATTTTTATGTCAAATATTACTCTTTTGATGTATCTTCAAGATTCATATCTACATATATATGCATACTTAAATTCACTAGACTGAGTTCTTTATGTCTGCGTCAACAATTGGACTCCTCCCTTCATTACATTCAAGCGCGGCGGGCAGTTCAAGAAATTGCATGTCGATTGACTTAAATGCCACAAAGTTGTGGCGTAGGGTATCAAGTAAAAGTAAAGCAACAAATGCTCAAATTAAACTTTAGACGAAAACAAAAATATTTCCACCCCCTAACAAAAAACCAATTCAAGTGTGTAAGCTTTTGCCTACTTTTGTCTATACAAATGCGTTAGTCTTTCAGACTTTCAGGGATTTACTTCGTCGTTGAAAGCTGAAAAACAAAGCAACTTTTCAAAAGTTACATTAAATTGGACTAACTCAATAGCGCATTAAAAGTCTTAATCTGCTGATGCCTAAAAACAGTCTATACATATTTACTTACATATTTACTTACATATGTACATGTATGTAGATAGAAACAGGGTATTCATCTAAATGCGTAACTGCTTCGTAATCGTGTGAACTTCGTAAATAAACCGGCTTTCTATACAAAACTACGCGTTTACATGAATTTGCCCCAATGTGTATTATCTTTGAGTTTAAAAAAATTCGATGTTTGTGTTTGTACGAATTCGTTTATCGTAATTTTCTTTCATACACACCTTATAATCACATATATGTATATACATTAGGGTGACTCAGAAATTTTTTTCCTCGAAACCATACTCAAAAGTTACGTTTAGACGCCAAAATAAGTCTCAGAAAATATGAGCCCTTAATAATAATATTAAGAATGTCCGCATCGCATCTTTCGATTTCCCATAAGAATAACACAGAATTTTTTTTTTTTTTTTGATTCTGATTTTTATATTTAACGAACGATACGTTGTACTGTAAGGTCTTGGAATATTTTTGTAGAGAATTGACCGAGTTGACTTATCGAAAAATGACTTCGGATCTTTTGTGTAGAGCGTTCAATTCTTTAGACAAATACTCCAAGACCTTTTGCAGTCCAACGTATCGTTCGTTTGCACATGCATACATATGTACATGGGCATATCCTGAAAAAAAAATCAAAGGCAAAAAACTAAAAATTAACATAGGCCAAACTTGATAAAGTATATCGATAGCTGTATATTTCGTCGTTCATGCCCTAAAATTTTATACTAATGGGTCCATTATATACCAAGATATTAACGATTTGCTAACTATTTTTTCGAATACGAATTTTTTTATCTTATTTTTCCCAAAAAGCTTCCCCAATTGCGGTAGATATTGATAAAGAATTGAAAACCGTTGTACTATAAGTCTTATACCCAAAATTATGTGGCTGTCAAAAAACACATAAAAAAATTATTTGTACAAACTTCAAATTTGCATCTTATTATACTAAAACTCAGCG